GTTTTATTTTGACATGCACGAAACCTCCACTTGCACCCGAACTGGTATTTTTTACACTGCAAAAGCCAATAACTTTTTTTCACTCTTAATAACTTCGAATTAGACATGATTGTTGATTGAATAAATTTTCACTACATCTTGCAATTATGTTTTACCCTTGAAGATTAGGCTGATGGATAACTCAGGCCGATCAGGATCCCATAATGGAGCTCTTGTTTGATTGGTGGCGGCAGACCTTGGGAAAGTTCAGCATTAGTGAAGAAAGTGGACGATGGCTTATACATACAGACAATGTCTTCCACTATAACTAATGTGTCATTTATGTTATCGTCATTAATAATGTTTTCCACATCGTCCAGCAATGCAATCTCCTTATCCTTATCGTATGTGTCTTCTGCACGATCAACTGCACGCATTCCATTCCTCACAAACACATCATCGTCTGAATGAACCAAATTTTGAATGACATCGGTCCTTGTTTCAGTTTGAAATTGGATACCAACATTCGATGAACATGTGGTGTATCCCAAAAACATCGACATCTGCGTACTCGGCCCTATATGCAATTCTGACACATATGGCTCAGCCTTCGGCATTCCATGGCCCGAATTAAACTCGGCTTCAAAAGCATCGTCCCCCATAAATCCGTGCGCATATTGATTACACCCTTCAACATTGTAAGAGTTAACAAGCACAGAAGAACTGAGATAGGGATTGATACTATCCTGTGTAAGCAATTGGATATATGGGTCATACTCATTCACCATTGGCTGAGGAAAAACTGTTGGATGTGCTCTGCCTGAATCTACAAACATCACCGTAACACCATAATTTTTTTAATTTCAAATTCTATGTATTGTTGCATGGGATCCCCTAAAAATGATGGAAACTGACAAATTAGCTGTAATTGTGATGTAGAAGTAGAACTGTCCAGCTACATTATTGTGTACATATTTCTCAACAATTCGTTATATGTTGTTCTGTGTTTCAACTTTAGACAATGCTGAGGCTTTTCATTGTATGATAAACAACCTTCATTGTATATAATATTACCTCCCAAATAACACACATTACTGTGGTACGTCTCCTCAACATTTTATACCTTAAATATAAAAATAGAATATCAAATAATTTCCATCTTTTAATTACAGGATTGTATTGCACGACATATTTTACTTTTAAACCTATTAACATACTTAGAAAGTGAAATCATAAATGTTTACTTTCTAAATTTCCTACAGTATAAGTACCTCTGAGCTGCTATGTTTAACACGCTCGAAAATTTCAATCCAACTACTCTTACTCAGGCGTCTAGTGCAGCGCTCCAGAAAATTAACAACTCTCAATTGAAAGCCTATTACATTAAGCCAGGAATAGAACCCTATATTATATTAGAGCTTGATGTCCTCCAATCTAATTTCGTTGTCACCATGATGATTACACGTGCTTGGTGTTTTTAGAAGACTTGATAGTTTAACAAGGTACCACACCAGGAAGTCTTACATTAGAATTTTGACACCACTATAATAATTATAAGATTTACCCGCGTTTGATCCAAAATCTATCCCGCATTGAAGGTGACATGTTCGAATATATAAAAATAATTATATATTGTTAGTGGTATGACATCTGACCACTTCAATATGAAAAAAGAAAACAGCCCTACTATTATTAAAAATCACACCATATCTTATACTTCAATCATTGTTCAAAATCAAACAAATAGTTCAAAAAAAAGTCTAGTGCCATAGTGATTACATCTGAAATACAAAGAAAAGTGGTAATGTAGTTTCATGTTTTTCATATACTTTATTCCATAAAGCTTCACTGTCTTAGATATATTGATGCAAACAACTGATAGTAAAGTAAGTTGAGTCTAATATCAGTTGATAAAAAATGTAAAAATATTCTTGTTCTTTTCAATTCAAAACCAATTTTAGGACCCTAATAATGCATTCAAACTGGAAACGTGTCAAGGAACTTGTTTAGAAATTGATTTCTTGTTGAGATTCACTAATAACTAGATTTTGAGTACTTATTGTCGGATTGAACCATTGCATTGCATCATGGTTCATTGATAGCGTGTCTTTTATGATTTTCATAGAAGTTGTATTAGAATTATGATTTTATCCTGATTGACTTGTGTCAAAAAATATGGCAAAAAAGGGAATTGAGGAGCCCTTGTTGTTTTACCCCACCCGTAATCCATGTAAACCTTGAAATGTTTTGGTTGTATGTCTTATTTGTTTCCCTTGTAAAGAAAAAGATATGATGCTTTTGGTGACAAGTATCTGGAAGGTCAACCTAAATTGCCCTAACTAAAGTGATTGTTTTCCACTATTGTGTGAGAGATGCACAACTACCAGGTTAAATTTTCCTGTTAGCTTCGCAAATAAAGTGTTGTATGGTAATGTTTCTGCTCCTTTTTGTTTGTGTAGGAGGTGACTAGATACAAGTGAAGACAATGTCTAGAGTGATGCATGCTTTTCTATTGGCACTAGCTGATTAGTCATCAAAGGTGTTGTTTGATGCCTATATACTTTGGCAGGTTATGTTTGTATAGGAATCTAAGGTGAGTGAACCTAGCAAGCTTGGTTCTACGCATATTATGTATTTCTGTTTTATGTTCTAGTTGACAATTTATACTGCTTAACATTTTGTATGCTATTGGGATCGTTCAGGAGGAAACCTCACTGGTACATGCTTTGTTCTAATCTATGGATTGATAGGCAAAGGATTGGTGTATGTCCTATGAAAAATATAATTTTAGACCAAAACAAAAGAAATAACTTGTGGCAAAATTTCAAACCAAAATTCAAGCAAAGAATTGGGGTGTGCCATATGAGAAATATAAATTCAGAACAAAATTTTAACTATGTGGAAAATTTTATCAAAATCCACAATAAAAACAAATTCAGACCAAACAAAAGAAATAACTTAGACTATTATCTTGACACTGTAAGGGGCAAGGGGCATTTCAAAATTCAACAATTTAAATTATAACCATTGTAACACCTTCACAATGGTTATTGACTGAATTTCAACTGTAATATGAAATAGAAGCACATATCAATATTCCTAATGCACAAAAAACATACTTTAATCCAAAAATTAGCATTCAGTATATATTGCATGAATGCAGTTCAAATTAAATGTCTAAATAAAATTCAATCCTCAAAATACCTTCACACAGTAAATTATTGAAGTAAGTATGCAGTTCTAAATTTCTGATGCAATTCGACAAAACCAACAGTATGGGGATTTTTGAGTTACACTGGGGGATTTCTGAATTCAACAATAATGGGGATTGAGTAATGGGGATATTTTTTTAAACTTAGTAATTTCCTGAATTAGAGAGTCAATTGAAGTGTTCCTGGTTATATAAATTATCTTATGTTCAACATGTGAAACAATGTCTTCTCCTTGCTTCAGACTTAGCCCACGGGTGTGCACCAATCCACTGCATGATTTGGCAAAAGACTAAGTAAGCTAGGCCTATTAAGAATCTCATTACTGCAATTAGGGCTTAATAGCAAGTCAAGCAAATCTCACGTTTCGAATCTTGCAGAAGTTTAGTTGTCTTCTTTGTAAAACATTAAGGCTATGGTCATTTAGGGTTTGTGCATTTTAAGAGCTAAGCGTAGAGGAGGCAAACGAAAACATAAGAGGAAGAGGAGCCCTGTTGGGAGAAGAGAGGGAGATGGAATCACTACAGAGAGAAGAGAGGGAAAGACCTCTGCGTTCGAATGGCAGAGAGAAGAGAGAGGGAAACTTATGAAAAAACAGAAATGGGGCCCTAGTGAAATATGCAAATCAGATTTGTTGATTCCACTTTTAAAAAGTGATGTAGGTTGGTAAATAAGTTCAAAATATATGCATTTTGGTAATTAAGTTGTAAAACCACCGTACTTTGGTAATAGAATCGTTGGACGTGGGTGATGGATCGTTGAAAGGGGATCTAGTGTTGTGCTGAAAGGAGGGAGAGAGAAAGAGAGAGAGAAAGTATATTGAAATCGAATTGAAAAATCAAAAACGTTATCAATCCAAAGGAAGTAATGGAACTTGCTATTGTTGATGAAGAGTATAATAAACTTGTAGTTTATGACTGATTAGGGGTAACACATGTTTGAAGACACGGTACAATGTGAATAGTTTTAAGAGAGATGTTGGTGGCTGTTAAATGAATCTATTTGAGACCGTCAGATAAATTTATTGAAGTTTGCTCTGTTTTATATTGTTTATGACTAATTATCAGGGGTTTAATGCATATATGTTTTGAGTTCTGCTTTCGAGTTTTTTATTTTGTTTTATGTTCCCCAGGGCTATTCAAATACCAATTGTTGATCATGTTTACAAGCTCAGTTTGAAGCAGTAGTGAGGTAGTTAAGGACACAAAAATTATGGAAAATCAAGTGCAAGCTCTGTCAATATAATTCCCACTTCAGCTTATAATTTTGATATTTTGCTTATAGTTTAGGCAGTTAGCTCGACTTGGTAACTCTCTTCTCTTTGAAAGTGGGACTTACCGCTGGAAAATTTTGTGCAATGCAGATGTTGGATGATACCTTCAAATACCTTCAAAAGTACCAGTAGCTATTGATTGACTGCAATACAACAGTATCTGTATCCAGGGGTAATGGTTCCTCCGAGAACTATGGCTGACCAATTTTCACATAAGCACAGCCTAACTCTCATGGCATTAGTTTCTAATTTATTTGAATCAAATCAACCCGTTTTCAGAGTAATAGTAAAAGTTACTTGTATGAGTAAATGCCCTTCAAATCCAATCAGAAAAAATACATGGAGATAAATTTATAGTGAGGATATATTGAGGTTTAAAATAAAAAGATCCAGGAGAAAAACAGTATCTCAAAGATGAAGGGGAAGAACGAATGCCCCGCCCCCTAATTAATGGCCATTATCATATCAAAGAAAAAAGAGAGATCAGATCACTCTACTCATCAAAAGAAAATTGCAAGAGACCTTTTGAGAAATATTAATCAGTCAATTACAACTAGATTCAGGTATAGTTCACCAGAGATGGCCTGCTCCATCACAGCCTCTAAGTTGACAATTCCACCTTCCTCCAAGAAAATCTTCACCATATTCTTTGAGAACCCACTGACCATTGCAACCCCACTTTGCTTAGCTGAAACTAGAGTACTAGGGGAGTACCTTAGGTTCCAGAACACAATTTATGAAACTTATTGAAACCTTTCTCCCTTAACTTCCTCTGTATCATTTCATAATCTGTCTCCCACCTTTTTGGCCTATTTTTCATCTTTCTTCCTATATAACCATACCTAGGACCGCAACAAGGTTTGTCCTCCATATTAGAATCACTTGTTGGAGACGAGGAATTTGAACTTGAATCCGAATTTGAATCATCATCATAATATGAATAACCACCAAGCCTGAAGGCTTGATCGAATTCCATGTCATTGAAAACAAAGATTATCATCTTATCTTCACTTAAATTCCAATAACGGCCACATTCAAAATCCTGTCAAACACTTTCTGAAGGTCTGTATTCCCACCCCATTCCATCTCTCTCACAAAATTAGTCTTCTCAAGAAGACTATTCCCTGTGACTTCATGAAGCTCGGGATTTTCACTGAATGTAATCACTTTCCCTTCCATGGGTCCTCACTTAGCTCTGAAATCAACAATCCCAATGCAACACAAACCTCCATTGGAATCCCATTCATGCTACTAGAAACATCACACACAGCAATGCAATTCGTCGATATCCCTTTCTTTTTCAAGTCATCCACCAATCTAGCCCATTGAAGCTCTGCAACTTGTCCACCATCTCCATCCTTCAATGACACAATAATCTCATGGGGAAGTAATGCTCCGGCTGCAATTGTGGCCTTACCAAGCTTCACATTCTCATGATACTCCTTAAACCGCTTGTTTTCATGGCACAAAAGATTTCCTTATAATTCTTTATCCCCACTGAAGCAACACGGTTGTGTGGTAGTGTCTCCCATTGTTTAGCACTCATATACACCTCCAGTAGCTCCAAAACCTTATGAAGAGGAACTAGAACTTCCTTCCTCAATCTATCTCTAACCCTATAAGCATAATGTGCTTCTTCAATATCTTCGTATTCTATATAGTCCTCAAGGGAAAATAATCTTCTAGCAATGTTTTCGCAGATCTTATCAACGGAAGAATCAATAGAAGGGCACCATTTTGCGGCTAGACTAATATTCTTGAACTCATCGGAATTCAAACATTGAATATCAGATTTAGACGATTGGCAAAAATGGTTGAAATCTGATCATGCAAGAATCTATAATCTGGGTCACGAGTGTACCTTTTGAAGGCCTTTTTGGCCTTGGCAACCTCTGTTTTCTTCCTCAAGTCCCTTGTTTTCTCTCTCTCTTCTTTCACTTTCTCCAAATTCGCCTCCACCCTTTTGTCTCTCGGCACTCTAGCCCTCAAATTCCTCTTCCTCTCCACCTCTTTTTTATGTCTTTTTCTTGACTTCATTTCATGAACTCTCTTCTTCCGAAGAAAACACAATCCTCTACTTCATCTACCGTTCTTTTTACTGTGCCATTCTCTCTTCGCAGCGGCCCAAACATCAGGGCCTTCAAGAATTCTATAAAGAATTTCAGGCAAATCCTTGAAGTACCCAAAATCTGCAAAAATGTCAAGATTGCAGGCTAGGGTTTTGGGATGGTGCTTGTGAAGCCAAAGTGCAGCAGTGTAGAAATTTTTTTTATCAGACTTTCCGGTACCTCGAACACCTCTAAGATTGCATATAAGCTTCAGTGTTGTTAATTGGTTGTGCTTCCATGAGAATAGAAGGCGTTCAGTGAGATCTTCGGATGGTGTTTTGGGGACTATATGGAAGAAAAAATCTAAACAAGGATTACCAGTGGCAAGTCCGACATATCAAAATCGCCATTCCTCCTGCTAAAATTACAATAACGTCCTCTAGTTTTTTATATTTATGAAAAATTGGTCTTTGTTTAAGAAATTAATCTCTACCCTTTCCTCTTTTTTTTTCTTGATACTTTTTAGGGGTAGTCTACAGTTAAAAAGATTAGCAATGCTATAAGAATTTAAACATATATGACATTATGCAATAGCATTATTTTAACCGCAATTTTTTTAAAAGGATAATATTGTTCGTCTACAATCGATATATTATTAGTTTAACAAATTAGATCAATTTTTTAAATTTAAAAAATATTACATAAAAAATACTAACAAATCTGTTGACCTCAGCCAGTATTTTTGTGAAACACCCATTTTATCCTTAAACCACACTAACAATTAAAACTAATAGAAGATTAATATTTATATCACTAAAAATAATAGAAACAAAAAAAAAGGTCAAAACTCTATTTTTTAAAGAAATCGTAGAAATTCGATTAATTAGAAATATCCCAAATTTTCGAACCCCAAACTTGGTTCAAGTGAATTCAATCTTATCTCGGAGTAAATAACACTAATCTTGGGTGTTTGATATTGATGGTGCTCGGAAAGGCTTAGACCAAGTCCAGAACAATAACTTGATGGTCTAGAGAGGGTTAGTGTAAATATATGAACTGACATTATGTTTCTTGAAAAAGAAGATTACAATGGATTTTTAGGCTTACGACCGGTTCATACAATGTTTTATGAATGTCAGTATCTCAATGAAGAAATTGTCGGTCCCCTTTTGTAGTATGATAATGTCTTCTAGGGTTTCTTGTTGTTTCCTTTTATTTTTTTTGTTGATTATGTGATCCTCTCTTCTTTTGTCCATTAATCACATCTTTCATGCAACGCAACTGTATCCATGATCCTTGAGCGATTACGTAAACAAATATTTCTTTTGATAAAATGTGCATATTCGTTAAGGGTGGCAGAGGATGTCTCCTTGTCCCTCCAGCCACGTTGTGTGACGGGAATGGTTCAAGACCAACAAGTCATTCCCGAGCTGATTTCTTGTCAGGTTGGATCGGGGTTGGGTTAAGTCTCAAGTATTTAGGCACTGTTGGGCTTCCTCCTTTTGGGGCACAGTCCATCTTAATCTTAGAGTAGGCGGGTTGTGGGTGAGTTGTTTGGGTTGCCATGCACGCAGAGACCAATTGAACATATTGGGCTTTTGGGATGGACGGCCCATAGCAAAATTCCACCATTATCAGTTATTCTATTCAAGTGAATTCCGTCTTGGAGACTGTTTGTTGAATCTCTCCAAGAGATCAGCACCGTTAATTTTGCATCGCTTCTCTTGTATTAAAAAAATAATAATGCTATTTTAACTTGTTAAAGTAATTCATTACAACTATTAAATTTTACTGGTCCTAATAAATACTATAACCTACTATTAATTTAATAGTTACAAACGATTAAATCAACAAATTAAGTTACTAAATTAGGTCCAAATACCATTATTTAAAAAAAATGAATAATGCTAAGACTGATAAAAAAAATAATAAGACAAAAATATAGACAAAATGATATGTTAGTATAGTAATAATATTTTTACCACTATTTTTATACGTTTAATAATTAAAATTTAAATTATCATTTTTGCACAAAATTATTTAAGATATATTTTTTATCTCATATTTTTTTATTTATTTTAAAACAAATTCACCAACAAAACAGTCCAAAGTAAAATAACCAAAAACAAATGCTTGGAGATCAGCATAAAAGGCCCATTGCTACCGTAGTTGTTAGTACCGTACGATACAGAGGTAAAACGATACGGATCGTAATTATGTATTGTTTTTGCACCGTATCGTCCGATACACGATATATTTTTACGATACGACCAATAGACGCAAAACCTATTTTTTTTTTCCCTGAAACAACGTCGTTTTGTCTAAATAAAACACTAATTTTTTTTTTGTATAAAATTTTATGAATCTTGATTAATTTTATGGATTGAGTTCAAAATGGATGTTAGAAATTTGGATTAAAAGTCTCTTTGGGGTTTGAAATTTGAATTAGTGAACTATGGTTGTAAACTTTGAATTATAATATTAGCGAACTATGTTGATGACTTGAATAAGTGGTGAAGTATGAATGAAATGCTATATTTTTATGAGTGTATGATTTTTTTTCAAAGGTATGTATATTTTTTTATTATTTATTTAAAATTACACCGTATCTTACGATACACTATTTTTAAAAAACGATACGTCTTCCGATACACAATTTGACAACTATGATTGCTACCAGTTTGCCGGACTAACCTTCTAGGCTAGTTACGACTTGGTTATTGGTTTAACGGGGTTAATCCGTGGTTTACGACTTGGTTATTGGTTAATCCATATCCGACTAAATTTACCTAGTCGGATATGGATTAATATTTTTTATTGATAATTAGAACTCGAATTCAAAATTTTATATTTTTGGATTCAGATTTTTGATATACACATATCCGATCTAATCCAAATTATTTATATATTTTTATATAAATATTAAAAAAATTAAGTGATTAATTAAAAAAATTAGGTATAATTTGTTAAAATTTAGTTAATTAAGTTATTCGGATTGAATCAAAAATTTAAATTGTTAACGAATTCAAATATGGACTACAAAAATAAAATTCGTCGGTATTATTTGGAGGTGAGGAGATTAAACAGTTAAGAGCCGAGTAGATTAAACTTATAAATGAATAATAAATTAATTGGTTTTATAAACAATATATATATATATATATATATATATATATATATATATATATATATCCCTTTCAAAAACAATGAAATGCATAGGGACCATGTTCCAAACAATAAGAAGGAAACCTTAAGGGCATGTGTTATTTGGGGGATTGAGTGGTATTATAGGGTGGGATAACGAAAAATAATATTTGGGGTTTACCTATTATCTTGTTTGGTTGATAATTTATGTGTAATACTTTTTTTTGGCTTACAATATCGACTCAGTTTGTACAGTAGTCTTTAGCCCTTGTATATGGCTTTAATGAATATCACCGACCAGGTGGTATAAATTGATCGACGATATAAGCAAGGAAAATGACACAAATACACTTTTGTGTAGAGTTTACATATAAAAAATTTATTTTGAATTTTTTTTATTGTATTATGTTTAAGTGTATAGTGTCACTGTTTTTTTTTTTTTTAACAATTTTTTAAAAAAATTTATTTTGAAGTTTTTCTTTATATTATGTTTAAGTGTACAGTCACCGAATTTTTTATTTTGAATTTTTTCCTTGTATTATGTTTAAGCATATGATGCCGCCGATTTTCTTTTTACAGTGTCACCGATTCATAGCATCAGATTCTTTATTTTTTATGTGAATTTTTTGGGTATGAATTTCCATATCATGTATTAAATTAAATATTGTGCAAAAGCGTTATATAAATAGAGTAATGGAATGAATGATGTTAAGAATAAAATTGTATATTTGTTATACAAATTGTGATAGAATAGATGATTATTTGTGAGACCCACTATAGTATATATTGAACAAACAAACAAACATCAGAAGAGATTGAAATACTTTATATTACTGCTACTAATTTTCATTTGTATTGAAATTGTAAGGAATACATTTCTTAATACCATGCATAACAATACTCAAAACAAACATGCCCTAAGTGCACTTATAATTGATGATGCACAAAATAGACTTATACAAGATCAAGAGTTAAGTTTGTGATAAAGTGTAATTAATGGACAATTAATTGAGCAATCAATGACAATAATGTAAATATCGGGTCAATACATAGATATATAATGGTTCAGTCTGATAACCTACTCCATTCTGAGAAACGACAATGATGAACAGGGGGATTTTTTATTGATTAAGTAAGGTAAACGAGAGAGAGAGCAATGATTAGCCTCAAGAGGAATATAATAGCTAGGAGAGAGAAAAATTATTTGTGGGGTGTATATAGAAATGTCAGTGGATCGAAGTGGGGGCGGGAGGTGCAGTCTCCATTCCCGTACCCACTTAAAAAAAGTCCGTCTACCCCCGTTAATAGATATAGTTTTCATCCTCATCCCCGTCTGCAGGTAAATTTTTAATCTCAGTCCTCGTCCTCGCTTCCCTGGTACCCACTCAAGCCCAAGCCCATACCCAAGCTCCATCTAACATAATTCAAAATTTTAAATAATCCAATAATATTCTAAATAATCTAACATAACATAATGTAGAATAACATATTTTAACATAACACAAACAACAAATGTTCAAAACACTACTTGAATATTTGTAATAGTAAAACTTTTCTGTCATGTAATTTCATACCTGTAATTTAATAAAGAAAATCAAACATAGAAAACTATAATAATTACATAAAAAATATTTATATTTACTAATAAATGTGGATATGGATTTCAGTATTAACAATATGGATGATTCTATAAAAACTAGGGAACTTAGATAGGTTGGTGGAAGCTAACATGCATTCTCATAGTCATAGTTGCAGTTTTCAACTTTGAACATATATTTAATTATATATATATATAACGGGGGCGGGCCGGGGGTAAGAGTAAGTCCATCTCAGCCTTCATTTTCATACGAGTTTATACAGGTATTCTCATATATGTCTCTTGTCCAATACGTATGGTTTATCCCCATTTCAAACGGGGCAAATTTGAACGAATACCCATTTTTTCTCAGTCCACTGTTATCCTTAGGTGAGTAGAGAGGTGTCTCTCATGTAGAGAGAGTTTACAATTTATAGACATGAAACCCTTAGGTGAGGCGGTGACATGAAGGCAAATGTACTAAACATAAACTGAGTTTAACCTACCTTGTAGCTGATTTGGACTAATTTGATTTATTGGTCTTGAACCAATTAAATTTAGACTCATCAATAATTCCTCGAGGAGTTTGGTTTATCCTAATTTTTTTTTAATAAATATAATGTCATGTAAGTTACTTTGGAATTAAATTTTTTTTATTGATTTCAATACTAACACAAACACAATACAAATCAAAAAATTATAAGACTCAAATTAACACCCCTAAATTTTATAATTTTTTGTCAATGAAACAAAATCTTCGATCCTTAGGCACCGACCCATATGGCATCGGTGGTTGTATTGACTATTGAGTCCAGGGAGCGGGGAGGTACCAATGTTGGGTCCCAGTGCGACGGTGGCCTCACAGCTCTCGAGAATTAAAATTTTTAGTTATGTCGGGCCCTAAACGACGAGGACCCCACACGAATATATAATATGTTAAATTTGCAAGTACCATTAATGTTGTTTCCAATCAACAGACGTAGTAGAATCATAACTACCAAATAATTAGTTAGATCTATTGAAATTCATTAATCTAACAATTTACGAGAAATTGATTAAAAAAAATAGATAAAAAGATTTATCAGTAATGTAGAATTGTTATTAAATTAATGAACAGAATTTGTCCAACTGAAACAGAGGATAAATTTTATAGGCCCGAGGAATTTAAATATTGAACAATAGAAGTTTTTTTTTTTTAATGGGTGGGCAAGTCACTGTATGCGCACCTCGATTTATTTCCTCCTCAGTCCGACCAAAAGTAGACCATCTATATCATAATTAAAATATTTATAAGGGATAAATCTTTCATAATTTAACCCTAAAAAATTGTTGAGATTCAAACTGAATAGAAGCTTCTGGGTATACATAATGACAAAAATATTTACTTGAAATTATTCACAATACTATCATTGTAAATGAGTGTCAATCTTTGTTGTGCCGTATTATTTTTGGTCGAATAATTTTCTATAAATTATATTCATGTCAATATTCGTATTAATAAAATATTATTTAATTCTTCAACATCTCATATGATAATTTGTAAAACGAATTTTAAAAAAACATCACAAATACCCATTTTTTTGTTTACATTATCCGTCAATCGGGCATAACCTTATTTTGACCTATTTATTATTTTTGTCTATTAATTATGTTATTTTTAAATTTTAATTTGAGCCTTGTTAATATCGGATTTGTATTAATAGGTAAAATTGACACAAACTTATCGAGCAAAAGAGCACTGGCCCTATGAGAGGTGTCTTTTCTGTCTTTTACTCAAATGCAAAGTTTGAATTTCATGGGTCGCCTCCGATGTATGCATTGCGACGAGATAAAAAAAAAAAAACGAAGAAGAAGAAAAAGAAGAAGCTGCTATCATTCTCTGTGTCGGCACCAATAATGGAAGCTGCTATCATTCTCTGTGTCGGCACCAATAATGGAGGCTGCTATCATTTTCTGTGTCGGCACCAATAATGGAGCATGGTAGCTCAGTGTGATGCTAAAAGCCTAAAACGTTTCATCGTATGAAATTGGTGACTTTTCAGTGGACATCGCTGACTCAAAGAAAATGACTTTACCATGTCCCTACAAAGTCTGCCCACGGATAGGTCAAATTGCAATAAATTGTAAATGTGTCGAATTTAAATTTTGATAATTTTTTAGAATTATGTCATAAGATGTTTAACTTTTATAAATATCTTAATTCTTATGGCAATAGCCTACACTTGATCAGACCGGAAAAAAAATTAATTGAAATACGTGTAATTTAATTCAAACATTCCTGACCATTGAACAAAAATAACCCATTTATTGTAAAAATAATAAAATAAAGTACAACAATAAAATAATAAATAAAAATATTACAAGTAATCTTATTTTATTATTATATAAAAAAATTAATAATTATAACATAGACTCCTAACAAGTAATCTTATATTACAAGTAAAATATTATTTTTTTATATAATTATTTTAAGTAATCTTGAATTTTCATTATAAAAATATAACAACAATTAAGATTAATTTAATCTTCATCTACTTTGATCCAATGATACAAAATTAATTCTAAAATTTTTTTTCTCACCCAAAAATATTAACTTCTTTGCAATGACCCCTAATATCAGACAGTCCAATTAACACACTTCTTAATGTCAAACAATCTACATCTACCTCTCCCTTAATTTTAAATTGTGTAATTAACAAACTAAATTATTATTTGAAATATAAATATTACATGATCAATTCGATTTTTTGGTATTATATAGTACTTTCAAATACGAAATTATTGCTACTATTATATATAACTCAAAGTCCATATCTCTTTAAACTATTGTCCACTAGTTTAATCAACTAGAAAATTACCAATCAAATATTATTGCCAAAATGTCAAAATGTTTATTTAACTAATTAAATTCAAATTGGAAGCAAAATCTGACTCATTAGACCAACCAAATTAATACCGTGTGTCTGTCAACTTTTCTTTTTTTTTTTTTGTTGTTAGGTCAAAATTAAAAGAAGCCAAAGACTTGGAATAATGGGAATTCATATAACATTAATTATATAATAATGAAGATAGTGCTCACTGCTTTACATACATCCTAGCATACACCCATATTGGGTTACAATAGAACAGATAATGCACTAAACAATACCACCATGAACCTTCTCACTATTTGTAATTGATGGATAACCCTAAGCAAGCTTATATCCATTCACTAGCAGTTCTTATTTCTAGCAGCTAATCTACCCACAGTACATATAGTGACTCAGTTGGTAGGGAAAGCCAATGGTGGCCTAGTAAGGTGGCTTGTAGTGTGGTGGCGGTGCCTTCTTGTATGGAGGGAAGCGACCATGAGGTGGGAATGGCTTTTTTGTGGGCGGTGGCCTAACAACAACGGGTGGCAGAACTGGTGGCTTGATGGGTGGTGGTCTAACAATAATGGGTGGCAGAGTTGGTGGCTTGTACTCTGATGGCGGCTTCTTCACCGGAGGCGGCTTGTGAAAAGGCTTTGGTGGTGGCTTCTTGAATGGAGTTGGTGACTTGTAGTTGGGGGGAAACTTTACCACCGTAAGTGGCTTGAATACTGGCTTTGGCGGCAAGTGCACCGGTGGCGACTTCTTGAACGGTGGGTGCTTTCCAAATGGTGGTGGCTTGAATACTGGCTTTGGTGGTTGGTGCTCCGGTGGTGGCTTCTTGAATGGTGGAAGATTTCCGACTGGAGGTGGCCGGAAAAAAGGCTTTGGCGGCGTGTATTTGGGTGGCGGCTTCTTGTATGGGAGAGGAATGGGTGGTTTGTGCTCGTAAGTGGGTGGCTTGGGGTGTTCAGCAAGAGAAGGGGTGGCGGTGAGTATCACCACCCCAAGTAAGAACAACAAGGAGTATGGGAGAGACATTTTGGGGGTTCTTGGTGCAAATCTAAGGAGATTGAGGGGGTATTTATAATTTTTTTGGGCCATTTAGGGCTTGACATCTGTCAAGATCCTATTTGTTTTGCGTCAACACGTTGGTTGTAGAGAAATTTTAGCAAAAGATTTTTTGTGTTCATTGCTAGGTACATAAAAGAGACGGTGGTCCTCTGGGGCCCAGGAGTTGAAAAGTTGGACTATGGAGGCAAGGTTGTGTCTTAAGGAAATGGAACGACCGGGAAGTGTGCTTCATATTAAAATGAAAATAATCTTAAAAGGTACATCGAGCGACAATAAAGATAAATTATAAATTTAGATATTTTAAATTTAAATTTTGACAAATCTTTAAGTTTAAACTATGATAAATATATTTTTCATGAATATTGTAAGAGTAGTTGTTATCCATATAAGAATATTTTTACCTGAATACCCTTATGTGGCCTTTCGTAAGCGGGTTTTAGTTGATTTATGGAATCTAAGTCTAATCCTCTTTACCTTTTAAAATTTTGTTTAATTTGGACCTATAAAATTTAAGTCTATTTTAATTTAATTTAGTAAGCCTGATTAAATAAATTTGGACTTTTGGATTTATGAATTTTGTTACTCCAGTTCACCTTACAAACAATTTTATTAAATAAAACCATTTGTTAGTGCACACCATCCAAATTCCTTGACGCCATTTGATTTTTATGTTATATTTAAAATCAAATCTTTGATCAAGAGGTTTAATTTTTTATTGGATTTTTGATAATATTATAGAAGTTTGTAGTTTTATTATGTCACTTTTTGTTTGAGGTGTGTGCGGCATCTAAATGCTTTCTATCATATGGGTGTTTATTCTTAGATGAAGGTTTTCCCTCTAAGTTCTTGCATTTTTGGGTAGTTATTTCTATGTTTAAGCACATGTCAATGCTTTGTTAGTAGTTAAGATAACGCAATTGATGTTGTCTAGGTTAAGTAACGTGCTGGATTTTTGGTTGTCCACACCCACTACGCACATAGTTTGTTTGATGAAATGTCTCAAATGTTTAGATTGTATATTAATATGTGTTTGATTGTTTCATTTCTTTGATCAAATTATAAACTCATAAACGTTGTACTGCCATGAATTGATCTGCTGATTTTAAGTGGATGCGAATGTATATACGTAGGAATATTCTTTGTTAGGTGTAGCTATGGCTATTTGCGGAATGCAGTTGGTCCACATCTCGATCAATCTTGAAGTCATGTGCATATGTATCTTCTTTTTCTTTTTCTTTTTTAAATCAGAACGTGTGTATGTATCTCGACAATATTTTTTTCGTCATTGGTCCAACAAATATATGTATTTTGCTATGGCCAAGCCTTTTAGATAAATTAAGTTTCATTTAAGACCAGAAAAAATTTAAAAAATATATTTATATAAACTCTTAGCATGATTGGTTAAGGAGTTTGGAATCATATTATTATTGCTTAAATGACCAAATCAATGAAATGGGTACATTTATAATCCCACTTACAATTGATAATGCTAGGTTTGTCCATGATATGACAATACAATTCCTATTCATGGATACAATATGTTCTATCTTTAATTTGGGTAATTTAGTCGTTTAATAGATAGTATAATTATATACTAATTATGATTTTTTAAGAAAAAATAGATTTTTATTTTTAATTTTATTTCCATAAATGACATAATATAACATGAATTTAAAATATTTGATATTATATTTTTTATTAGAGTATTTTTGATTACCCCAATTAAAGATAGAACATATTATATTTATTACAATTTGACCACTTATTTGGGTTTTTTAATTTTATTCCAATAAATAGAATAATTGTATACTAATTATGACTCTTTCTAAATTAAATTTTTATTTTTTAATTTTATTTCAATAAATGACACAATAGAATATGAATTTTAGTTATAAAATTTAAAATATTTAATATTTGATATTTGATTGGAGTATTTTTGTTTAAGTATAATATTTTAAACTTGAGTGGTTTAAATATTACACACCTACAAACTTTAGGATGCTTGAGTTTAATTTATTAACAGATATACTAAGACGGCAAGATTTTAAGTGTTGCGTGTATATAAACCTCAGGAGGTCTGCGTATAATATTTCAAATATTAGAGAATTTAAGTGATTAAATGATAGATCTCATGAGATTTGGGTGTACTTCTCCCTTCAAGTTTTATACATATCATCTCCAAAAAGTAAAAGATTAATGTTAAGTAAGTCTGATCAAAACTCTAAGATAATTATTAGATTTAATTTATTTTCAAAACAAATACAAAATTCATGAATTATTAAACTCGAATTTACGAAATTTGATCAAATGAGTGTGCAGATTCATTACGAATCCGCTATCAAGGGACAAATTCGCGCGTGGAGCATTGGAGGACTATAACATTGGGTGACATATGTTATAACTTCATCTGTTCATCACTTGCAAAAAAGCTCTGAAGAAATTGGAGGTCACCTGAAGTCTATAATCATGCATTGTCCTATCAACTACTTGCATTGCTTTTGCATTGTTCTAACTAAATACCCAACATGTTCTGGAAAAGTTACTCAAAAAAACAACATGTTCTGGAAAGAAAGTAACCCATACGTAGTCAAATATATGGTTCAAATGCCTACAAGCTACGAAGGACGGACACTCTTGAGACCGCGACGTATTGGTGTCGGATATCGACACTTTTTGGATATTTTTAGACACATGTCTGACACTCTTTTATTGGTATTTATAATTAAATTATAAATTTTTAATTCGGATACTTTTTTAGTGACGTGTCCGACACTTTTTTAGAACATGTCTACTACTAAATAATAGACATTTGTTGAAATATGATTAACAAAACTTAAAAATTTGAGAATATATAATTACTAATACTAAAAACATTAAAGTTGTACTCCAAATATAATAAAAAAAATAAAAGATGCATAAAAATTTTAAAAAAAAAGAATTGAAAAGATGAAAACAATTATTTAAATTATATATCAGGTAAGCATCGTCTACAAAAAAAATTTGATGATTATTGACTATAATGAGGATGTTTTAATCTAAAAATTCACACAGAAAACTAGACATTATATTTTCTTATCATAAATTACTGATTTTTTTATGAATTGTATATCATTATCACTATATTTGTAATAAATTATATAATGTTATATATAAAATATAATTTTTTTGTAACATGTCTTCAACATGTTCGTGTCCTACTTTTTTGAGAAATGTTGTATCAAAATATCCGTATCGCATCGTATCCGTGTACCGTTAGGTGAAATGTGAAAAATTGTGATATAAAAGAATAATTGAGGGGATCAGACTAAGCTTGCCCCATTAGACTCCCGCTACTATAGAATTTAGAGAGAGTTGAATATACACAATTTAAGACATACAATTTGGAAGTTTAGGTCACAATGAAGTAGTCTTACCATCGCACTAAGACTCACCCTCGTAAGCTTGCTCAACAATATAAAGTAAAAAAAAAACCAACGGTTAGGGGTGTCTAAACTAACTTATAGGTACTTTGACCAATCTTTTCCTTGATTCAGTTAAAGACAGACCATCCACGTCGAGACTAGGGATAAATCTCTTATGACCTGATCCCAATAAATTACCAAGATTTGAACTCAATACATTTAAATTTATAATTCATCTCTATTACCACTTGAATTACCGTTGAAATTGATAGAATTCTGTTTAATTGCTCCTAAAATTGAATGACCGATATGTATTGGACAGAATTTAACCAATGTGATAAAATATACATTTATATATCTATAATTGGATAATTAATATAGTTAGAGGTGCAAGGTAAGAAATTATTCGCTAAGGGGTCTATGTGAGATAGAGGATAAAATTGAGGGGTTCAAACTCTAGTTTGCCACCTTAATGTAGAGTTGAAAAGAAAACCATCACCTTCTTCAATGCAATTTTCATTATTTAACACCCCTAATTAAATGAGTGCCCTAATGAAATCAATACATGTTGTCCTGAACTAACATGATTCTTGCATTTTCTCTAGTTCTTTTTAAAGGAAAAGTGAGAGAGATAAGTTCCAGTCGAGATTTCATTCCTTGTGGATAGGTCTATTAATTGATTTAATTTTAATTCAAATCTAATTAATTGAGTATAGATTTATATCTTTGAGCAATTATCAGCATCCGAATTAATTATATCACATTTGATAGATGAGAATTTCGATATACCGATATTCAATGCAATTATGGTCTTACTAGAAGTTATACAATGAAATTGAGTAGTAATTTGACCAAATTGCATTAGATTCAATGAAATTTATCTCTCATTGAGTTACTAGGACCGGTTTTTTTTTTTTCATGGCTTAATTTACTTATATAATGCAAATAAGATTTTTTAAACTCGACTAGATAATTAATTTCAAACAATGGGTGGTTATCAAATGATATAGAATGGTGATTACTATTCACTCTATTCCTAAATTTATGTCGTTTTACACATTTTTTTTATTCTATAATATCTATCGTTTAATGAAACTAAAAAATAATTAATATTTTTTCTTCCAAATTTATCCTTAACTTTTCAATACATTAAATTAGGTGGAGATTAAATATCTTTTATATTTTTTTCTTTCCCAATATGTATTGAATAAAGATATTTTAGTTTTGTACAATTATTTTTTACTTATATTAGAGTTATTTAATAGTTTCTTTAATTCTTGTGCAAAATCCTTAAACGATAGATATTTAAAAATGAAAGAAATATAATATATAAGATTAATTTACTTATTTGTTATATTTTTATTATATAATATCACTATTTAATGGTAATAATATAGTCTCACCGTTATATCTAATATTTTATCGTCTAGAAAGGGTTTGCCCTATAAAAGGCGACTTAGCTTTTAATCTTTTAACCCATCACCTCACCAAGATGACCCTTCAAGGCTTTCTCCTGCTTTCCCTATGCTTGATTTTCCTCACCACTCCCAATATTGCTGGCTACAACAGTGATGGAGAACAACCTATATTGGGCAAGTCCAAGCCAAAACCACCAAAGAGCCCTCCCAAAACGTCATTATCATTACCACTACCACCATCACCACCATCACCTCCACCACCACCACCACCAACAAAAAGCCTTACGCCATCCTGGTCCCCAACAGCGTTACACCCGCCTTGTGTTTCTGATATGACGCGTTCGCAGTTAGAGAATGTGGAAGTGCTAGATGAAGAGGAGAAGCTACAAGGTCCACTTCAAGAATTCTTCTCTCGTTGGTTTAGGCGACATCGTTCCCCACCACCGCCTCAGCGGCGTAAGCCACGGCATCGATCTCCACCTCCTCGCCGTCCTTCTACTCCCCGTCGACGTCGTACCCCCACCCCCTCCCCCATCAGTATGCTTAAGACAACAAATTAATTGTTTGAAATTATAAGAGCTATTGTCCGACTACTGTTTCTATCAGTCCATGACAATATATATTCATATATCGAATGCTAACTCACTAATGTTCATCGATCGCCTGTTAGAAAGAGTAACTAATAACCATGATGATTGGTACCTCCGGAATTATGTTTTCATTCAAACGACTGATGCTAGATAGAATTTGCCGGGTTAGGCTTCTATCTAAGAAATACTTGAAAGATCATGTAGTTATCTTTGAATGATGAAGATTTGTGTACATTAAGAAAATGTAATTTATGTTTAATTTTAAAAGCAAAAAATACTTCTTGGAGGCAGGGTATTGACTTACTCATTTGAAACAGTAATTATTGCTTTATATATCAGATTTGTCAGAGAAAAATAGAAGAATATTTGGTTGTCTGGAGGAGGCTTTCCCCAAGGAATGATGTGAACTTCTAAAAGTGATGACCTCTTCACCAAGGTAGGGTTTGATGGTATAATTCATCTTTTACATTTCCAGACAGTTTTCATGTTGAAGGTCTGTCTAAGTTGACGTTCTGGTTCCGGAATCGTATTTCTTTCTGGGATGGTTCTAGATTAACTCGTCAGGATGACATAGACAACCTATTTGACCTGTCTTTTATGTGAGCTGTTAGTTTTATTTCTGGCATCACCAATTTGTATTGAGTAATTCTCTCGGAGGTATTGCTCAACAATCCTCTGAATCGAATGTCCTGATTGGTAAGAGTGACAAACAGGTGGATGGAAAAGTGAGGATAAAAACGGGAGGGAAAGAAGCATTTTTCATTGTTTGGTGAGAAAGGAAAAATGGATGAAATGGAAAAGGGAAGGAAAGAGTTTTTGAGTGCACCATTTTTTATTCATCCAAATATGGGCAAAAAAGGGAAGAGAATTGTTGGCTGCAAAAAGTAATTGAGTTAATTTACATTTATACCTTTATTAATTGCATATTCTCTATAACTATCTTATTAAGTACCATTTGTACAAGGGGCACAATTTTAAAATATTGTTATATAACTTATGCATGGTAAGACACCCGATGGCATTATTTAATTATTTTTTTATAATTAAATTCTAAAGAACATATGTAATTTTTTTCCATATAGAACAAGAAAGAAAATTTCTATTGTAAGAAATAAAGACCAAATACATTTCTTTTAATTTCTCTTCTAAATGGAACATGTACTATAAATTCAAGTGGGGGTCTATTATATAAAAGTGACTTAAACACTGATTAACAATTCAATTACAATTTAAACTTAAAAAGACGTTATAGATTTACAATGTTGTCTATTTATAGAGTAGCTTGGGTTGTTGGTTATTATTTTTGATATACATATTTATATTTATTTGTTTATTTATTTTTATAACTAATTAGAGTGACACTGAATCCCTTAAATTTATTTATAATAAAAAATTTATTTATATATGTAAGGGTATAGTGGTAAATTAAGTACATGTATCTTTTCTTTCCTTCCACTTTTCCTCCAACACCAAACAATAGAAAACTAATTCTTTCCACTATTCATCCATCGTACCAATCACAAAGGAGGAAAACTGTTTTTCTTTTCTTCAAGAATGAAAAGTGTATTTCCTACACGTTTCCATCCTTCCAATTTGAAATCCGAGTAGATTCAAACAAATCAAATGGATTGGATTTCTACAACATAAATCTACATTTTAACTCACTTTCCTTAACTATTTGCTTACTTTTATTGTACATGCATATACAATGGGTTGGGTTCTTATCAGATCACATACATTGAAGTTGTTGGACAGAGAACGCAACAATAGACATTATTGATTTGTTTAACTTTGAGTATAAAAAGTGGTGTTGATTTTCTTTGACGTGCTTGTCATGTGCACTATTATCTGATTTTTGATGTATTTGATTTAGTGATGGGTTTGATGAATTTGATAAAGATGAGGACTAGATCATTGTAATTCTTGATCATCAATTTTATTTTGAACTTTGGTAGCTCTTCTCACCATTCTTCGCAAGGATCGGCTTGAAGACGACTTGAAAGATCTCTTGAAGAAGTACCTTGGTGATGTGTTCTTCTCAAAGCGGTTGGGGGTAGATTCCGACAGGACTTCACTGCTGATCTTCCTTTCTCTTCTTTAGATGGACTCGGACAAAACTTCTTGATTTTCCTTCCTCCCTCGTTCCTTTTGGCTTTCTTTTCCTTTTTCTCCTTGCAAACCCCTTTTTATAGTGTTAGGAGTAGTTATCTATAAATGTGTGAGCTTTAATTAATTTATAAAATTTAAGTCCAATCAAATTTACTTTTAAAAGTTTGTTTAATTTGGACTTGTGGAATTTAGGTCTATAACAGTTTAATTTTAAAAAACTTGTTTAATTAAATTTAGGCTTGTAGAATTTAGGTCCAACCAAATATAATTTAGAAGTCTATTTAATTAAATTTGGACTTTTATTACTTAGGCTTAAGGAATATAAGCTCATAACAATTAATCTGGGTGTCCATGGGCCAGATTGCTCACAAGCTCCGTTACTTGGTTTTAAAAAAATAGATTCGAAACTCGATTGGTCTGGTAATTTGTCCACTCGAACCCGAATCTAATACTTTTCAAGAGAGGGTTTGGGTCTACCCCAAACCCATTACTCGGCCCAATAACTTGCCTGCAAAAATCCTGTAAAACCCAATCCAAGAACTCGTCCGTCCAACCCAGTCCAGCCCGAACAACCCGCCTACATTCCTTTGAAAAAAAGTTAGACACATAAAATTAAAATTATAAACAAAAATATTCATAATTTAGTTTTTGTCTATTTTGACTTTACTTTTAATTCAAATATATAATTTATAAAAATATTTATTATTTTTAAATAAAGTTGTACATAAAAAGTCCGTTTAGTAAGCCCACCCGCAAGCAAGGATCAAAATTTTATTTTGGTGCATTATTTCAGTCACTTAGGAAATAAAAATGTTTGATGTGTTTTGAAAATATTTCGAATCGTTTCGAAAATAGAATGAAAAAAAATAAAAAATTTAAAAATTATTTTTTTAAAATATTGGTCGAAATATACCAAAATCTTTTGAAATACATTGAAACATTCTGAAATAATTGTACAAATGTATTGAAATATAACAAAACATTATGAAACACCTTAAAATATTAAAATTTAGATTCTATCAGTAATTCATTTCGGTCTTTTTAGAAACGAAAACGTTTTGGATGATTCGAAACGATATTTTTATCCTTACTAGCAGGGCCATAGGTCTGCTCAGTGAGTGACGGGTAGCCTCCTGTTACCCAAAATCCAGCCTAATCCGCCGAAGAGAGATGGGTGGGGTGCGGTGGGTAGGATCGCGTTATGGTCGAGTAAGAGAAAAACAATAGGATGATAAATTTCTGTTAAGATATTGAAAGTAATAAAATTGAGAAAGACAATGCTCAATGATTTTGTGCCAATTCTATCAATTAATGCATGAAAAATGTGTCGAGCCACCTTAAGATGCCTAACTTTACTTAGATTGATTGAGAAATAGTTGCGATTTTTTCTTTCAAAAAAATCAAAGAGAGGATGTAATAATAGGGCAGCTTAGTGCAAATAATTCTAATGTCGTACGTAATTTTTTATGGGACTTGTTTTCATGGGATTTAGATGTTATGGATCTTGAATTTTTTATTATTTGGACTAATGTGAATATATATAATATGAGAGTTTTGTATGTAAATTAACACATACACCTTGATCGTTGAACCAAAAAAAAAATATATATATATATATATATATATATATATATATATATATATATATATATGGGAGTTCTTTTCTAAGTGTGGTTTAGAGTGATTACTTTATTGGCCTACTTATCAAGTCACCCATAGGTTGTCTATACTATCAAATGACACCCGCACAAATGGAAATCTAATAGAAAAGAAAAAATTTAAAATTCAGATATCTCATTCAAATGAGTAATTTTAATTCTAAAAGGAAGACCCCATGCCTCTATAGAGGTTATTTCTCATCAACTGTCTAATTTCCTACATATCATTATCATCAGATATCAAAAGCTGTACTTGGTAGTGGTGGTGGTGGGGGTGGACTGTGGAGCCCTCCTATGTGGATTGTGCTTTAGTTTCCGGTGGTGGTGGTGGGAACTTGGCGCCGCCGCTGGTGGCTGATGTTCTTTTGGGTGGCTAGGTGCTTCTGCTGGTGCTTCTAATGATGGCGATGACTTTTTCTCCAGTTTTGGTCCTTCTGCGGGTGCTTTCTCTGTTGTTTGTTCTGGTGGTGGCACTGGAGCATTTGTGGCTGGCTTGGGCTTGGGATGTTGTTTTGTGCCGTGGTGGTGGTGGTGGTGGTGATGGGAACTGTGTCCTTCTGCTGGTGCTTCCGATGGTGGTGTTGACTTTTTCTTGTCCTTAGGTGCTACTGCTTCTTCTAAGAATTCTGATGTTTCCGGTGGTGGTACTGGAGCAGTCGTAGGTGGCTCGGGCTTGTGGTCGTTGAGGTGGTGGTGGTGGGCACTAGCTGCTATTGCTGGTGTTTCTGACTCCTCCTTATGAGTGTTGTGATATTGAGCAAGAGAAGGAGGGGTTAGAACCACCACCCCAAGGAACAACACTAACAAGTATGTGGTAGTCGTAGACATCTTACTCTCTAGGGTTTATGAAATGGACTTGGGATGGTGAAAAAATGGAAGAGAGGGGTACCCTTTTTATAGGAAGGTGAGACCCTTCCCATTATGACACGTGTCCCATTTCTTACACGGAAGGCCAGGATGCTTGGAGGCATGCCCTAATGTGTTTGAACGGTTATAGCTCCACCTTGAGTCAAAAGGCTCTTTTTTGGTAAGTGATTATTATTTTCAAAGGCTCCATTTACCTTAGGTGACCACTCTTTATTAAATGAGATGAAAAATAATTTATCAGTATTAATTACATTTAAATTATCATCTTATTATAATATTTTACTATTAATAATAACTCTGTATATGAGGACAATACGTGATACTAAAAATTGAGTATTGATATGTAATTTAATTTTAATTATTTAATTTAAAATTAAGATGAACAGAGAAAAAATAAGAAAGACAAAAGAGGGGGAGAAGGGAGAGGTCGCTGTAGATTAGTATGGATTGTCTAGCATTACAAAGTTTGTTTTGTTGAATTATTTGACATTCAGAGTCATGCAAATAAGATAATATTTTTGAGCAAAACAGATTGACATAATTGTAATCTGTCCCAAAGTTATAGTGATGAATTCAGGGTTATAATCATATTACATTGAATATTTTAACAATATTGCTTGCGCTATATTTAGTAACCAAATTCACTGCTAAAATTATTAATTGAAAAAATAAGAATTTTTTTCTGTCCTAAATTTATTCTTTTTTTATTTTCACACATTTATTTTTGCACAAAAAAAAACCTTGCTGACGAGCCCAAATTCAACTGTGTCAGGCCCAAAAAATCAAATAAGTTCAAATTAGCTAAAAGGCAGGTCAAATACAGTTCATGAATTTGATCAAGCCCAAGGTCCAAGGAATCCAAGAATAATTAGAGCATATGAGAAGAAATTATTGAGATACTCACTCTCGAAGATCAAGATAACCTTTTATGATACTTACCTTTTGTAGCTACCTGAAAAATTAGAATATTTGCCCTCACGTCACCGCCTTAACCAATGTTCTGTGCCTATAAATTGTTAATTCTCTCTACATGAGAGGACACATCTTGATTTATCTCTACATCTCTCTACACCTCATCACATAACTTTTCTGTCTCTTGACTATTGTATCTCTCCCAGAGCTAACCATTGCTCTCTGTCTCTCTCGTTCACCTTATTTTTGCTCTCTCTCATGTTCACTTTATTTCATCAATAAAGGTTCCTAGCCACTGTTGCTATTTCTTGTTGTGTAGTAGGTTACCCAAACCAAACCAATATATATCTGTGTGTTGACCCGATATTTACATTATTATCATTGATTGCTCTATTAATTGTCTATTAATTACACTATATCACACACTCGACTTTTGATCTTGCATAAAACTTGTAAAACCAGAAAAAAAATTTGAATTTTTTTCGAAAGAATGGTAAAATGGTAATTTGTCACTAGAATGCGGGCATAAAATCAATATTTTCTAGAGCTCGGATGATGCAACGGCCTTCACCGTTGAATTTGTATTGCGAAATCAAGTTGTCATGTCAAATTTCATCGAATTTCAAGATAGTTAGATTTTACATATTTTTCGAGACAATTGTGTGACGAATGACCTCACAAAGGTCCTCAAAAACGGAATTTATAAATTTTTTTTATAATTAGATAAAAGTTTAAATAAAATTAATTTGAACTGAAATCGAGAATTATTTAAGTCATTTCGGGTTAAAGACGGACTCCGAAGTAATTAACTTGCGGAGCAATATGGACAGCGCAATTAAAAAGTATAAATAGGGTGAAATATCTAAAAAATCAGATATTCTCACCCCTTATTCAGCTGAGTTCAGTCATTGAAGAGAAGAGAAGAGAAGAGAAGGGAGAAAATAGAGAAAATCTAAAATTTCTATCTTTCTCTTTCAATCCAAGAAGCTCCGTTGGTCGGAATTGTTTGGACCAAGAACTAAAATTAGTCTACTCAATGAAGACTACGCGTGCGTACCAAGAACGAGGGATTTTATCGAAGATCCAAAGAAAGAATTTTGAAAAATCAAGGATTTTGGGCTTGGAAAGTGTCCTGGAGGTTCTCCACACTTCATTTCACGCTTTAAGAGGTAGGGTTCTCTCCTACTCTAGTTTATTTTTACCCTACGGTGTCCATATGAAATGGGTAGATATATATAATGACTTAGGACTTCCCTATGGTCATGGAAATTAGAAAAAAATGGAATAGAAATGGCTTAGACCAATTTTTAATTTGATTTGATTATGTGGAAGTATTTAATAAGCTCTAGAAAAATTGGGTTTACATGGGCATGCTATGTGCTTATAATGTGCCGTGTGATTTAAGTGTGCTATGAACATGATTTATGAAGTAACATGCTTGTAAATTGTGTTGGATATAAATGTTAATATATGCTACTTGATGTATTGACATTGTGATGATTTGTGGTATTTATATACTTAAAATATAACTTGTCATGACATATGTTGAAGTATGGGGTTTAATTGATCCATATGACATTCATTACATATGAGACATAATATTGATGAGCAATGATTCATTACATTGCATTTGCACGGAGTTATCACATCCATAGGCATGATGTGGGTGTGTGTGTGCATGGTGTGATCAATCGCCATACTTGGTGATTGATGGTGGACTAGAAAATATTAGATAGAAAATTCGATTGAGTTGCACGGTCACATAAAAACTTATGTCGGGTATAGTAAGAAAGGCTAGACACATTCTCAGGTGAAAGACCCGACTATTTGGTTCATACACTCCCCTAAGATGAAATTTCGAAAAAGTGTAATGGCGTACAGAGCCAGAGGTGTAATTCCAAAATTCGATACCCAACAAAGACACTTGGTTTTGTTATATAAATGATTCATTTGATGGAAAACATCCAGAAATGAATTTGTTTTATGAACATATGATTTTGTTTCAAAATGATATTTGGATGTATTTCATTAAGGACAAATATTTTTACACACATGCATTGCATTGTGTTGTGGGAGCCGGAGTAGGCTTGGGTGAAAATGCAGGAGTGAGTCTCACCTCTTATCATGACATGACATGGTAGAAATTTCATCTTGAATAGCATGTTCTTGGATGAAATGGATTTATGAATGTAAGCATTGCATATGCATTTAGGTGGGGAGTAGTCTCTGTAGAAAATATTTTACTAGGCATTGGCTCACCCTATACGGGAACACATTTCAGGTGCAGGGTTTACACCGGCGAAGGACTCTTGTTCGAGGCCTCAAAGATGAAGAAAATCCGGAATGTAACTTTTGTTTTTAAGTTTTGTAAAACCTTTGTTAAAACTCCGTTTTTGACATGTAAATTTATGAAATCACATGTGATAAAACTGGTATGGATAATGTAGAATGTAGAAAACTTCATTATACATGCTTTGGATGAAATTGAAAAGGTTTGGAATGAATTTGAAATGCACAACAAGTGAAATAGGGAAAAATTGGCCATGCGTCCCGGTACGGCGAAGTCCAGTAGGCAACCAGTACCAGTGCACTTTTCAAAAACCAAAAATTTTGAAATTATTTTGACATGCTTATGGACTTTAGATTCTTTGGTTCCAATGATACAAATGGATCTTAAATGAGATATATTGGAGTATATTGTAACCTTGATAGGATTAAATGATAAAAGAATACGAATTCTAGTGTGAGTTACTATTCTGGTTCAAGGAATGACATTAGCATAATGTCGAATCAAGAGACACTCACGGGCATTTTCGCAGGTTGACGGGTCGTCAACGGAACCCCCTGTTTTAGGGGCGTCATAAGACTATTTTGTACATCATCACTTGCTAATAAAAATAGTCAATACTGTTATCAATGTTAGTTTTCTGCACTAATATGAATCTGGCATGACATGAACCCAAAAAATGACACGCAAGCCATTTTTTGGATGAATAAACCTTGTAGTGATAGAACTATGAATGTATAAAACATCTTGTGATCAAGATATGAACAAAAAAAAAAAAAGTTGTAGGCCTATCTCAAACAGACTATGCAGCTGGGAAGAGGCAAAACACAGAAACATAATCTATATGGAAAGCTGGGATTTTGATGTACTCCATTAGCTTAAACTTTGAGCTGAGCCAAGCTTTTAAAGCTCAACAGACTATCAAAATTATACTATCCTGTCCAAGTAAAGAGGTTATCATTTTCACAATGGAGATGAGGTTCAAGGTGCAGGACAGAGGAATATACCAAAGATGGCAGATTCCCATCCATGGGGTGTAATTTTATCCTTTATCTTGTAAAGAATTATGTGGATAATAGTTGTTTCTTGCCAAGAAACTACAAGGGTTCTCTCCGGATAGTCTAGTACCCTTAACATATTCTTCAAGGTGTTTATTTTGGGAATACTTGCAACACAAAAGTTAGTCTTTTAACCACAAGTAATGCTACACTAACCAAAAATATGGACCAATTAGTGTGACATTACTATAATAGTGTTGTTGGTCCCATTTTTTACATTATTTGATCCTTATTTTTTGTCTCTTTTTTTGTCAGCTTAACATTACTCTTTAAATACTGTTGTGTGCTTTGGTTTTTTGAGTGTAACCGCCAAAAATTTTGTTTTTTAATACATTTTGCTTTCCCAAAAAAGGGGTTATCAGTTCTCTACTTTCAAACTGTAGCTGCTTGGTTTTTTTTTTTTTTTCTTGGGGGGGGGGGGGGGGGAAGGAGATTTCATTAACCCAAAGCAAGAAACATGTATACAAAGTATACTGCTAATTAAAATTCAAAAGGAAACAAAAGAAAATAAGGGGTGGATGGTGAATCTTCTGCTCTATTACAAGCAGCAAAACATCCATACCACCAACCAAGAGCAAGTGCCAGAAACATCCACAAAAAAACAACGGAGCAGGCAGCGCAGAAACCAGGGGATTGAACAAAACAATTCACCCCAGCAACATCCACCACACTAGCACATCAACAGGAGAGAAAGCCAGAAAGCCTTGGAAATTATTGGCAGCAGAGCGAAAACAAAGAAGAGCAGACAAAAGCCAGAAAGGCCTGAGAATTTCTGACCGCAAACAGCAGAGCAGACAGAGAAGCAGCCAAAATGAAACACTGCAATCAAGTGCCAGAACTTCCTTCCAGCAAAGCATAATAAAACACTTCAAGGTCGATCAAAAATTTCCCTTGGCAGATCCCACTGTCTTTGAAGCCAAAGATTATAGGGGTGGTTTGGTGTAACTATCTCACAAAATCCTGTTGAGATAGTTGCTATTTAGATGCAGTCTTGATTCCTCAACTGCACTTTGCTGCCTCTTGAGGTAAATGGAACCATGGGGGTGACCCTCAATTATCGTTTCAAAGAATAATACTAGTGATTTCATCATTGACAATAATATTTTTTTAACTAGAGGCCAGGCAATTCCTCTTGATAATGGACTCCATCTACTATAACTATTGATAATGGACTCCATCTAAACTTGGGACATGCTGTTAATCCAATAAGCATAATAAACTAGATTTTTAAATTATGTTCAAGTAACATTATTCTTTACATAATTTTCTCTCACCTATTTACCTCAAAGGTTCTCATTATCTAACACCACGTGTAAGTGAGCATCAAAGCTTTATACCTTTCACACAGGTTTTTGAGATCAACACCCGTTTCAAATTAGGTTTGGTGATATCGTACAATTCAAAACGATTACACTTGAACATGACACAAGCTAAAATGACATTATTTGAATATCATCCGACTTCAAAGAAAACAACATAATTAGATTGACACCCTAAATATAACTACTCTCAAAATTCTAACTTGGCACAAAACCCCAATAGCTAATTATAACCAGCCATGCACCAAATGAAAAGTATATATCAATACCTTTTTTTTTGGGGTTAGGTATTATTCCTGGGAGTTCGAACCGACAACGTTAAGATCCAAAAGCAAGAGCGATTGATATACTAACCTCAAATATATATCAATACTTACCACACTAGTTTTGGATATATATCTACATAAGAGCCTTTACCTTAGGGATGATTACATATTGATTGTCTTTTAATCAGTTTTCTTCTTTCTTAATATTGGTATTAGATAGCCCCCTAATGCAATAAAATCATGATGTATTATACCTCAATGGCATAGAAAGACATGTATAATGTTTGCCCATATACTTACACATTCCCAAGTCGTGTCTTATTGAGTTAGTAGTGTGTCAAAATATACCCAACTTATTCATAATTATGGATAGTCTATTCATCACGAGTTTGTTCATTCGGTGTATAAGTTGTGTTTAAATCATATTTAATTGAATTCTTATTAATTCATTTATTTGACGGTCTAACCATCCACCGTTTATCAATCCAAAATTATTTAGGTTAAACTCAAATCCATTAATGAGGTGCCCATTTCGTCTTAGGTCCAGGGTTCCGTCTAAAATTGCTAAATAGGTTCACATGAGGGAAAAAAAGTAAAAGAACAGAGAGGTTTATAAAAGAACAAGATACCACAAAAAGATCTAACCGAAACAAGGCTTTATTATTGATAAAATGGAACTGTGTTTCACCAACAGGGATTAGATAGATAAGATGAGTTGTGGATCTTCTTTCTAAACTACAACGATGCTACTACACATATAAATGACTTCACTCATCATAACTAGTGACAGGCGCAGGAGGTGGCGGAGGCTGAGCCTTCCTAGGTGGCTTCTGTTTCGGCGGAGATTTTGGGCTTGGCGCTTCTGTTGGAGGTGGTGGTGTTGGCGGAGTCTTCCTAGGAGGATTCCGCTTCGGCGAAGATTTTGGACTTGGTGCTGGTGATGGTGGGGGTGGCGGCGGTGATAGTGGCTTACCCCTGAACCTGGGTGGCTCCTCCATTTCATTTTCCATTGTTGTTGCTGGTGTTAGTGGTGCTGGTGGTGTTGGTGGCCCTGGCGGCGGCTTCCGAGTCGTCGGAGGTGCGTCTGGTTGTGGTGGTGTTGGGGGGTGATTGTGTTTGCGCTTGTGCTTAGGTGCTTCCTCCATTATTTCCGCTTCTTCCTTTGGTGGTGATATTGGAGCTCTCTTTGGTGCCTGGTGGTTGTGATGTTTTCTCAGGTGGTGGTGGTGGGTGGGGGTGGTAGGGGTGGCGATGGTGGTGGGGATGGCGATGGTGACCAGGAGCGTGTGTTGGTGTGCTTCTACCTTGTGCTTAGGTTCTACTTCTTCCTCTGTTGATTCCATCTGCACAAAAGCAGACAGGTCAACAGGTGATGGTTGCTCCTCCTCATCCACTGCCACATCACGGTTGTGATCGGCAATGGAAGGAGTGGTGAGAACCACCAGACCAAGGAAGAAGAGTAACAAGTATGGAGTGGGCATCTTCTAGGGGTGCGAAGGACTGGGTTGGTGCAAAATTGGAGAAGAGGGGTGGTTTTTTATAGGAGGGTTAGACCAATCACCATTAGACACATGTTCACTGCATGTAGGAGGCTATGTGTGCGAATGGGTACCTGCTTGTGAATGGGTTTGTGTCCCATCCCATTCTTACCTGTGTGTGAATGGGTTTGTGTCCCGTCCCATTCTTACGTATGTGTGAATGGGTTTGTGTCCACCATATTTAAATAGGATCTTGGTGTTTTTTGGTAGGTAATATATCCCTAAAGCTGGAAAAGATACATTTGGTTGGGAGTAGTAAGAAGTGTCGGATGCAAAAGAGTTAACTTTAGTTTATCGTCAAAGTAAAAACATTTAAGTACGATAAATTACCAATGGAAAAAATTGAAACAAAAGATAGGTATTTGTTTCGGCATTTTTGTGCCGAAGCAAAAAGTGACTATATGCTTAAGCAAATGTCGAAGCAAATAGTCTTTTTTTTGGCTTTAGAATTTTGCTGATACAAATAGTCCCTTTTTTTTCTGCTTAGCATTTTGTCCAAGCAACTACTTTTTTTTTTCTAAAAAAATAAATTTTATTTACAATAATATTTTCTCTGGGCAAGCATACATATCTCATAAACTGATTAAATGTAAAAAATATTTAGAAGACAAGACACTAAAGTAATACAATAAATCAATTTTAATATTCATTATCAAAAAAAATCCTAACAAGTACATGATAGTCGAAGTTTTTCATAAGTACACAAAATTAAAAATTCCTATTGAAAATATCAATATATGATTGAACTAAAAAACTCTTTCCCAATGCAACAAAAAAATATTTTTTCTCCTAATGCCCTATCCACCCTTTGTCGATAACCTGTAAACATACGATTGGTTGTTATGATGTATATGAATAAGACAATCTGCCTCTTCATAATGGATTTGAAATTTTCGAGCACATAAAGAAATGCTAAACATATCTGCACAAAAAGAAAAATAATCTTGAAAAAATAGCACACTTAAAGTCCAATTTAATGAATTACCCAAATTTGATAGTATTGATTCCATCTCCATTTCCAAATTCGACAATACAAAGAATCCCTTCCAAATTCAACAACGTAATCAAACAACATGGCCACATGTTTAACTTGAAACCAATATTGTTACTGTAAATCAAGAGCTTGAACCTCTCAAGTATAGAAGATAAAGCAATTTTAATCACAACCATTATTTAATTTTAAAAAGAAACATACTTAATTATGAGTTAGAAGGATCAAATGATGATGGTTATAGTTGGGGGAAGTATGGGCAGAAAGATATTCTTGGTGCTAAATACCCCAGCTGACATGTCTATTCTCTTTCCCACATCCAAGTCACGAAAGCCACCATCATTCACTTATCATTTTTACTGATAACATAAGCACATGCATCAAACCTTTACTATTCACACAGGTTTTTGAGACCAACTTCCCCCTTCAAATTAGCTTTGGTGATATTGTCCAACTCAAAGCAACTAGACTCGAACCTGACACGAGACAAAATGACATTACCCAAATATCACACGATTTCAAACGTAACGACATAATGAGGTTGACACTCCATATATAACTCCAAGAATTCTAACTTGCCACAAAAAACCCCTATAGCAAATTATAAACCAGCCACGTAGGGGCGGAGCCCCCTGCAATTTTGAAAAAATTTTGGGATCCATTTAGCATTTTTAAAACTTTAGGATCTTGTCCCCATTAAAATATTGTAAAATATTTAGGGCATTTATGTATTTT